CATAAAATATTTATAATAATAAATATACTAAAATAAAAATGAATGTATGAACAAAAATGGTTATACACAGTGGCGGATTTATGATTCCTCCTAAGGAGGGCTCTGAAACGATTTGTTGATCAGATAAATATATAATTTATTCGACTTCATTTGTAATTAATTTTTAAATTGCAGGTAGATTTTTGTATTATATTTGTTAGATAAAATAAAAATTATTTTTGAACAATTTAAATTCCATTATTTTATATTATTTAAGTATCGGCTCAAAAATGCTGAAAAGAACCATATACGGACAATCTTTAAAAACGATAATAAGCCAACCGTACTTCTAAAGAATGGAACAATAAAATAAAACTTATCGGAATCGTGTGAAAACTTTCCTTAAACTTGTGTTGTTTAAATGTTTTGTTAAAATGTATGTATATTAGGGTGGAGCCAAAAAATTCAAATTTTTTCTTCTATTAATTTAAAATAGCATTAGTGTGGAAAAGCTGTGTAGAAAACAAATTTTTTTTTTTAATAAAATAATATTTAGAGGGTCCGCAGGGCAATAAGATTTTTAAATATTTTTCGTTTTTGTTACATAATATTGTGTCTGGCTGAATGGCAATGTGCATATGCCAAAAAACAAAAAAGTTAGATAATATTAAATTGTCAAAATTATATCAATTTTTTTAATTTAAATGTACATTAGCTTGTGAAAGTGTTAGATTAGTATACAGATGAAAACCATTATTGATTTTTTGCTTTTAAAAAAGGTTTAGAGATCCCGCAGATCAAGTGAAAATCATGATTTTTTGGTTATAAAATTAATACAAAGCTATTTTATTAAAAAAACTATTTACACTTTCTAGCGATTTCTTTGTGGAAAATGACCTCATATTACATAAATAACTCAGAGCTCACCACATGGAGGTGACCGCACATCTAGCTCTACCCTGTCCCACCCAACGTCCCAAGAGCAGTGTTTAAAAATTAAATTGTTTTTTGTTTCACTTTGACTTTATCTTAGAACGAATTTATCCATTTCTTCTAAACTCTCCAAACACAGAAGATGAAGCGTCGGTTACAAGCTTTATGTGTCGTTCAGCTATTTGAGTGTGGCAAAGGAATTCTAAAATATCTAGTATGTCACCGGTTCCAATAAAATTTATGCACTCATGAATACTGTAATAATGCGGGAGGGTTAATGTCTTTAGTATTTTGCCAGTCAATAACATCAATGTAGTCGTTAGCTTCAAAATTAATTTTAGGTATTTTGAAGATCCTGGGTATATTGTCATATTTCTTTTCATACTCTCTACCTCTTAAAATTCGACGGAAGGGTAGTTCTCTTATATGAGGTCGTGAATCTTTAACCATGCCGAGAAGGACTCTTTCTGGGTTGTCAAAATAGGCATTTCTTTGGATAGTAGCATCGATTTCTTCTCTTATAGATTCATCCAAATATCTTAAAATCTTTATTAAATGAAACAGTTTTTTGCTCAATCACTGCAGAAATAATTGCTTTTAATTCTGAACCAAACTGGAACATATCCTACTGGCACAAGTCAACCAACGAGCATGTGACAACCTACCAGGTTTCCTTTACACAAGGTCTTCTGAAACTTTTTCGGAAGCTACAGCTAGACTAATCTGTAAGAATATGTTTGATCTGTGCTTAAAGTGGTTGGATTTAATGTTATATTTTTAGAGCAGTGGTTCTCAAACTTTTTTGGTGACGGAACCTTTTTAAAAAACGAAATATTTGACGAAGCCCTAAACACATTTCTAAAAAAAGTCTATATCGTTCTTTCTCTTAGCGACTCTCAAAAAAACAGGCCTCGGAGTATCCAAGAGTTCCAAATTCGAATCCCACCGTTGGGCTCTGAGAAATAGTAACAAAGCCTACACAGAACACGAGGCCAATGCTTTAGTAGTCGAAGCCGATGACACCAAATTAAAAAAAACAGGCCTTGAACCAGGTTCCTCCTCTTTCTACTCGGAGCCCCCTCAAAATAATCAAAATCATATCCTCCCTCCTATTGGTGACTTCTAAGAAAAAAAGGTCCTCCAAGCAAAATCATATCCTTCTTCCTCTTAGTGACTTCTAACTTAAAAAAAGGTCCTCAAGCCAAGTCCTTCCCTTTTGTAGCAATAGTACTGCTTTTGTTATTATGACTATTATTTTCTTCGCGGAGCCCCCACAAAGACTTTGCGGAGCCTCAGGGCTCCGCGGACCACACTTTGAGTAACATTGTTTTACCGTCTAATTTATTATTTATATTTATTAAATGTCGAAGAGGAAGTTTATTTCCATAGAGTTGGCAAATGAACCAATGCAAGTTTTTAAAAAGGACGTATTTTTCAAAATATTTGCTATCTTTCTTCTCTCATGCGAACCCTGAAGATGATCGAAAATTGAGTAAATATTTTTTTTGTTAAACTGTATAGTTTTAATCAAAGTTTATGACATAATGCGTAAAGCAAGTAAAAAAAAAAGTTGCTTGCTAGATTAAAAAAAAAACGTATTTTTTTTAATGTTTTGCCATTCTTTGTATTACATGCGGACCTTGAAGATAATCAAATATTTAGTAACTGTTTTTCTATTAATAAACTGTATAGTAATGAGTAACTTTTGGCGCCTAATGTGTGACCCAACCAAATAAAAAAAATCGCTCCACCCTAATGTATATACAGAGAGTCTGTAATTTGGAACAAATTCAATAGTTCGTCATCGTTGATTTTGTGAAATGGCAACACTGTCATTTTGATGGCTATTTTTTTTGTAAAGTTGTACATAACTTCCAAATATCACTTTTTTATTCCTTACCAATTATTACAAGATTATAAAAAGTAACAAATTTATAAAAACAAGTAATCAACTCTATTGAATTTAATAATTTCAATTAAGCAAATGCTCATAATGTTGTCCATTGACTATTTGACAATATCCTAAATGCGATCGAAATTCGTTTTGAACATTTCTAATAACTTGGGGAGAAATTAATCTACTCATTTCTTATTTGTGCTTTTAGCTACTCAACATTTGTCGGTTTGATCTTAAAAACTTCGCTTTTCAAGTATCCCCGTAAAAAAATCCAAAAGACTGAGATCTGGGGATCTCGGTGGCCATTCATTAGGTCCCCTTTTACCTATCCACCTGTTTGGAAATACAGCATCGAGATACTCACGAACAGGTCTTGCGAAATGGGGAGGCGCACCATCTTGTTAACACCAAATATCTCTGGCTAATTTCAACATAATTAGATATCTGACTAGTAGAAATATTAGGATTTTCTTGAATATACATTCATTTTATTATCTTCACTAAGGGCAGTTTGTCGATGAGTACTTGTTTTTCTTACATGTCCGTTTTCCCTAAATTGTCTTTCTATTTTACTTACATTACTTTGCGATATGGGTGGGATGTCGGGATATTTTTCTTTGAATAGATGCGTAACTTCCGTTAGTAAAATTTATATCTTGAGATTTTCAAATAAACCATATTGAACGATTTTTCCAAAAAAAAACTGACTTAATATTCGATATGTATTTTTAAACTTTAAAACATTTGTTGACTTGATAAAAATAACAGCAATACCATATTTTTGTTTAATACCTAGATTACTGGTTTTTTTTTATAAAATAATAATCTACTATACAAGTTGTTCAAGTCTCAAGACATGACATTTTCCAATTTGATTTTTCTTGTAATTGATAAGAAATAAAAATTTGATATTTAGCAGTTATATACAACTTTACAAACCCTATAAAAATACCCATCAAAATGACAGTCTTGCCATTTAACAAAATCAACGATGACGTCTTATCTCTAAATTGTATACAGTATTATTGTATGTAAAAAACGCGACTGAAAATACTAATACACCGGTCCAAACATTAAAAAAAAAACAGTATTTGAATTATTGAATTTATTCCAAATTACAGACTCTCTCTCTCTTTCTTTCTGTATAATAACCTATAAGTAGAAATAATTTTATTTATAGGTACCACTTTTATTTAAATTATTATTTACCAAGAATATTGTCCTGTAAATGGTAAACTATTGGCAATAAACCTATTATTATTATTATTATTTTTTGTGTGTCATCGGCTTCAACTGCTAAGGTTATTTCGCCTCGTGTTCTGTGTAGGTTTCGTTATTGTTTTCCAGCGCCACTTTAGGAACAGCACTGTTAATTAATTAGAACCCAACAGTGAATGGTCGAATGGGGAATCCTACCAAGGCATCAGAATTAATTTTAAATAAATTAAATGAAAAAAGTATGGCCAACGGTGGGATTCGAACCTGGGACCCTTGGATCCGCAGGCAGAGACTCTACCACTGAGCCACCCACTCCATATTATTATGTTTTGAAACAACTGTCACATATGGTTTTCTATTAGTGTTGACTAATTATATGATTCTGTAAGCTATGTTTCGCACTAAATTTTTTAGAACAGATATCACATGCGAATGGTTCTTCATTAGTATGAATCAATAAATGTATCTGTAAGTCGAATTGACTGTGAAATTTTATTGAACAAATATCACACTCTAACGGTTTTTCGTCGTCAGTGTGAATTTTCAAATGCTCCTTTAAACTAAATTTATGATTAAATATTTTTAAACAAATACCACACTTGAGTGGTTTTTCGCTATTGTGAATCAATAAATGTTTTTGTAAAGTACATTTCTGATTAAATTTTTTTAGACAAATATCACACTTGAATGGTTTTTCGTTAGTGTGAATTCTTAAATGTCTACGTAAGCCGCAGCTACTGTTAAATTTTTTAAGGCAAATATCACACTCGAATGGTTTTTCATTAGTGTGAATTTTTAAATGTCTTTGTAAGGCGCAGTTATGTTTAAATTTTTTGGAGCATATATTGCAGTTGAATGGTTTTTCACTACTGTGTATCATTAAATGTGATTGTAAGTTACTATTTCGATTAAATTTCATAGAACATATATTACACTCGAATGGTTTTTCGTTAGTGTGAATTACTATATGTCTCTGAAAGTCAAATTTAAGGTGAAAGGTTTTTAAACAAATATCACACTCTAACGGTTTGTCATTAGTGTGATATTTGGAATGTTTATTTAAATAATATTTCTGATTAAATTTTTTGAGGCAAATATCACACTCGAATAGTTTTTTATTAGTGTGAATAAATAAATGTCTCTGTAAGAGACAGTTACGATTAAATGTTTTTAGGCAGATATCACACTGGAATGGTTTTTGATTAGAATGAGTTAATAAATGTGCATTCAAATGAACTTTTTGACTAAATGTGTTGGCGCAAATATTACACTTAAATGGTTTTTCATTGGTGTGAATTATTAAATGTCTCTGTAATACACAGTTACGCTTAAATGTTTTTAAACAAATATCACACTGGAATTTCTTTTCATTAGATTGAATTATTAAATGTCGCTTCAAGTTAGATTTCATATTAACTTTTCTGGACCAATTGTGTGACTCGTTTAATTTTTGGATTACGTTTTTTCTATTAGTTCTATTTTTCACTAAATGTATAAAACAATGGCGAAAAAATTCAATTTTGTTCATAAATTTTCCACAAAATATACAAACTGCGAAGTATTTTCTAAAATGTCCTTCGATATGTTTCGATCTTGATTTAGAAGAAGTGAAATCTGTAAATGAAAAAAGAAACGCCAAGTTAAAAATCTAGTTCAATACATACATTGTTAAGTACAGTATTTTAAATTTAATGAATGTGCACAGGCTTCAGGGAAAGAAAGTTTCGGTACCATAACGAAGCAAGAGCTAAGTGGTGATTTGATGTCCAGAAACTGGAAAATGTTTGTCCCAAAATCATAGCTGTTCGTCTCGAATCAGTGGTTCTTAACCATTGGTCCGAGGACCACTAGTGGTCCGTTGAAGCATAATTTAATTCCCAGACTAACCTATACATTATTTGTATACTATTAACTGATACTTCTATATCTAATATCTACAACTACGGCGCAAGGTTAAGTCATTATGGATATAAAAAGGCAATATTTGACACACAGCGTCATGTGGAAAAAAATTGCTGGAATTTGTATGCATGTTGCTAGGCTTGGTTGCCGTTCCGAACTTTAATCCAGAAAAATCCAACTGTAATGGATTTACATTGTTTCATTAATCGTCAATCATTGGGTGCGCCAAATCGATCCCAGAATGCTCCACTGAAACGATGAAGACAGCTATAAAACTAATCAACTCTGTTAAAAGTAGTGTACCTACCAGAGATATAACTATTCATTCATAAAATAGAATATCTATGATGCCAACATCAAAAGTCAACTTGGTGATCAGGAGAGGAAAGACGTGTTGTGTGAGGTAAGAGAGGGGATATACTGGCGGACTGAAGGATTTGAAGGCCACACAGGCATCGCAACCTAATTTGTCTCGAATCTCGAATTTCAATTGTCAACTCCTACTGTAACTGTTAAAGAGAGATGCAAACAATAGCCGTGCTTCGGGGGGTGATCAGTAGATGATTTTCTTGAATTTGTGTTTGTGTAGCGTGCAGATTTTGAGTTATATTTTATTTTTATTTGTTTCTAGTGTTCTCTTTTGAGTAGTGACTTACTTGTGTTAAAATGCCGAAACATTTAGGTAGTCAAACAAAGGGAATAATATTTTATCTATTTGAATATTTTATGAAAAAAAAAAAAAATGTTCCTCGGCAACAAATGGTTTTGAAAAAAAAAAACAACGATGATAGTGAAACTTATGTAGACAATGTGTTGTGAACGATGATCCCAAAACTCTCACTGAAATTAAAGAACAAGTTGCTGAAGCTACAGGATACTCGGTAAAAACAATTGAACGAATAATTATGGAAGGTGAAATATCAAAAGGTGAAAAGTCTACGTGGACCATACATACCTAAACAATTGTTTAAAAGTCCAAAAAGGCGCAAAAGAACATCAAGTATAACAGATATTCCATCCTACAATATTGGAACAATCAGAGATACAGTTCATAGATTTCACGAAACAGAAAGTATGCGCGTAACAGTCAAAACTCTTAATGAAAAAATAAAAAAGGAAATTAAGTGGAAAGGGAGCTACACATCATTAAGAACTATTTTAAAAAAAATTGGGTTCAAGTGGCGAAAAACGCGAAACAACAGACAGGTTCTAATAGAACGGCATCAGGGAAAAAAGAATAGATTATATTAAAAAAATTAGATATTTTCGTTCTCAAAACCGTCCCATTGTATATTGGTTCGTTACCAAATAAAAAATTGAGTGGACTGCTTGATATTGGGAGAAATTGGTTCATGTGGCGTTTAATTAATTGTTTTTGTTGTTATATGTAAATCGTACTATTAAAATTAATCTTTCTTTGACTTACCAAGGTATAGTTCTGTTTCTTGGACAGGATAGGAAATATTCGTGCCGCCGACACAATTGCTGATAATTTTTATTCGCTGTGGTACCGATTCTCGCAGAACTAGTATTCGTTTTCACAGATTCGTACTGTCTGTCCGCTCTTTCCATCAAAAAATATTCGAAGGCACGATTTGGGTAAAAATGATAAAAACGGAAAAGTAAAACCAGAGGCGGATCATAAGGTTTAGGAATAGGTTTCATCAAAATATACTTATAAACAGTAAAGTGAAACAATTTTGACGCGAATAACCTATTTGGATACATTTAAATAAATAATAAAAATAAATAAATATTATGTAGGATCGTAACGATCCATTCCCGCCTCCCTGAGAATGTTTAAGACATTCTCTGAAAAGCAAAGTAACTCATTAAAAAAAAAGAAAAAAATTAAAGGAAAATTGTGAACGTGTAATACATTTAGATTAGTTAAACAAAAAATATATATTATTAATAATAATAATGATTAGTAAAATAAATAAAATATTGATTCAGTATTAAGGAATTGTAAAATTAATTAATTGGTAATGGACATAATTTTGATAAAGAGCGTTTAAGACGTCCCTTTGATGTTTGAACCCAAACACTACGAACGATTCTATCAGGACTAGTAACAAGTTCAACAATACGACCTAAAGTCCATTGTAATGGTGGTTCGTTTTCATTTTTAATAAGTACAAGAGTTCCTAACTGTACTGGAACAGTTTTATTTGTCCATTTGTGCCGCTGCTGTAAAGTATGTAGGTATTCGTTTTTCCATCTCTGCCAAAAATCAGAGTGCATTTTTTGCAAAAGTTGCCATCTATTCAGCCGGTTCTCTTTAACTTGAGAAAAAAAAGGATCAGGCAAACACGTTAGTGGTTCCAGGGTTAAAAAATGTCCTGGAGTCAGCACATTAAGATCCGTAGGATCTGTACTTAAAGGACACAATGGTCGAGAATTAAGTACAGCTTCTATTTGAGTAAGTACAGTAGTAAACTCCTCAAATGTTAAGATTTGTAAACCAATTACTCTAGTAAGATGTGTTTTAACGCATTTAATATTAGTTTCCCAAAAGCCTCCCATGTGACTAGCGGCAGGAATATTAAATGAAAACCGTAACGCTTCCTTTTCTGAAACGTATAAAAATAATTCCTTAAAATAGTTATTAGCTCCCACAAAATTAGTTCCACAGTCAGAGTATATGACTTCACATCTACCTCGCCTAGCTATAAAACGCCGAAAGGCAGCTAAAAAGGCGTCTGTTGATAAATCAGATACCAATTCGAGGTGGACGGCTTTGGTTGCACAACATAGGAAAAGACAAACGTATGATTTTAAGGGTTTAGCATTTCTTAATCTGCTAGCCTTTGTAGTAAAAGGACCGCAAAAATCACAAGCAACATTAGAAAATGGCTTTAATTGGGAAACACGAAATTTGGGAAGATTTGCCATAAATGGGATTTGAAATGTATTAGGTTTTGTTTTCCAACAGGAAATGCATTTATGTAGTATTTTGCGGATAATTCTTTTTGCAGAAAGTATCCAGTAATTCTGTAAAAGTAAGTAATGAGTAGTATTTATGCCACAATGTAGATTTTTAACATGTAAAGTAAAGGAAATTTTGTATTGTAATCAAGATTAGAGTACGATAATCGACCTCCAACACGTAAATACTCATCTTTATCAAGAAACAAATTTAATTTTCTTAAAGATTTTGACAAGTTTTCATTATTTTTAATTAATGATATTTCATTATGAAAAAATGAATTTTGAAGGTGTTTTACAACAATTAAAGTAGCCTTGGAAATTTCATCATTGTTTAAAGGCTCAGTAATTTTATCCTTGAATTTCATATTGTTTATAAAACGTAGGACGTAAGCAACAATTCTTAAAATTTTTGTCAAAGAGCTAAATTTTTCTAAGAGATTATCAAAGATACTAAATGTATTCAAAGTAGCCGTTAAAACAATATTACGTTTTTCAGCAAGAATTTCAGGTAAGTTCTTATCTAAAATAGTTTTAAGATTCCATGTATTAGTAGGCTTACTTAAAAACTGTGGAGCATTCCACCATAAACTGTGGAGTAAAAGTTTTGACGGAAGCATTCCGCGTGAACCACAATCAGCGGGGTTATCCCCTGTAGCAATATGAAACCAATTAGAAGGTGTGATTCTTTCTTGAATATAAGCTACCCGATTGCTAACAAAAGTTTTTAACATATGTGGCGAAGTTTTAATCCAACTCAAGACGATAGTACTGTCAGAAAATGCATAAGTATTATTGATACATATTTTTTGTAATAAAATTTTACTGACCGAAGTAAGTAATTTAGCAAGTAAAACTGCGGCACATAGTTCAAGCTTAGGTAATGAGAGCACCTTTAAAGGGGCCACTTTAGATTTTGCACACACCAAGCTAATTTTGATGCCAGCATCATTAATTACACGTAAATAAACAACTGCGCAATAACCCTTTTCTGAACTATCACAAAATCCGACAAGATCATATGCACATTTTTCTGAAATATCTATCCAACGTAAAATTTTAAATTCTGATAATAAATGTAATTCATTTTTGAAACTTTCCCATTTTGAAACAATCTCTATGGGAGGGACTTCATCCCAATCGAGCCCTAAAATCCATAGATTTTGAACTAAAATTTTAACAAATAAAATTAAAGGTGTAAGGTATCCAAGAGGATCAAAAATTCTTGATATTTCGGAAAGTAAAATTCTTTTTGTACAATTAGCAGAGTTGCATTTAAAAGAATACGAAAATGAATCTATACTAGAATTCCACCTTAAGCCTAAAATCTTAAGAGGAACAGTATTTTCCAAATCTAATGAAATAGCTTCACTTTGAATAAAGTCTTGTGGAAACACATTTAAAAGTTGAGGACAATTACTAGCCCACTTCCGAGCTTCAAAATTACCCTTACTTAGTA